TTTAACTGAAGCAGGTGTTTAATTTAGCAGTACTTCGTAACACATACGTCCGTGGCATGTAAGCGTAAGGGCAGACGGCGGAGAGTCACGATGCAACATACAGTGGGAGAGTAAAAGCGAACGAGAGAGGACGACGTTGGAAAACTGGTGTATCGCTCGCGAGAGGATGCAAAAGTAAGCCACGGATTGAAATTTCTCTGTATGTGTATTTCTCTGCTACTTTTCTTCTTATTTTTCTTCTTTTTCTTCTTCTGTAGATACTTTTATCTATTTTTCGCTCTCTCCACTGCTTGACGAGAAAGAGAAGCAGAATGGGGTATAGGAGTTGAGCGGAGTGGGCTCTTGGCTTTAGCGTGCGCGGCCTGCCTACTCATGGTAATTAAATGCCAGGCAATTTACAGAGCATGCATTTACCGAAGGCAGGGCTACGGCACCACACGCGGCTTTCTGTTTATACCCGCAAGCTCGTCACCGTTACATGTATACAATGCTTGCCAAGATACACACGACTTAGGAGAGCAGAGCAATTCATCCATCTATCCTTTTGGCCCTGAGTTTTCAGTTCTTCGTGGACGCCCGTTGCCAATCTAGTTGATTCAAACCTATTCAAGATAATTAAACGCATTTATGCAGCTCAATCCGTTTTTACTTGCTTTTCTTTACAAATAAAAAAGCAAGTGTACATAAGCATTCATACAGTACGGCTGAGAGCCATGTACACATTCAGGTGTAAGCAAATCTTTTTCTTCTTCCACAAATATTTGTTTTTTTATTTTAAATAGTTGTTTCAAAGTTGATGTTAAAATTTATGCTGAGTGTGCAGGTCCTACCCTCGTAACATGTGAATTCTTCCGAATGATTTTCATATTTGGGATATCATAAAAACACTCTAATATCCAAAATAAAATATATATAAAATACATTCGATATATTCTCTAAATGAAAACTCTGTAAAATACAGTGCAATAATAGACCAACGTATATTACAATACTTTGGAACTTGCGGTGTATTTTGGTAGGACGTATATCGTGGATTATAGCAATTTCGCAAAATATAAAAAATATTCGCAGTGATGATAAATCCGAAAAATATAGAATAGAAATATTTCAACTACAATTTACGCGGTAAATCATTTTACTTGATACAAAATCATTCGTATACGTAACACTTCTTCGATCAAATTTGGTTAAGCAGCATTTCTCAACATCTGAGTTTGCAAGTTGGGATTACTATAATTACTTATAAATGGAATTGTGCCGAGCTGAGCTGAATATGTGCTGTATGCTTTCCGTTTTGCAAGTGTACATAAGCGTTTATATGCACAATAAGATGGAGAGTCATGTACACATTCAGATGTAAGCATGCCTTCTTCTTCTTTTACAAATATTTATTTTTTATGTTAAATTGTTATTCTATAAAATTTTCATAATACGCGGATATATAAATTCCTATAAGTAATTTTATGGAAAGTTGTTTGTATTAAAATTGATGCTTTCCGTTTTTTAGACAGATTTTTTTATCGATAGAATTAACATTATGTTATAAAATCTCTACGTAAGTGAATATTACTTACATGCCATAAAGTTATCATTGAAAAATTCGTACGATGAAGAAAACAAAAATGTTTCGATAGCTTAAAATGTAAACATCGAATATCGAAAAAGTAGAATTCAATTTAGAGCGAAATTGTATACCCTTCATTAAAAGACGAAGCCAATCAAAAACGTGTAATAGCATCAAACGAACAATAGTCCTTTTTTATTTTTAATATCTAAAAGCAAACTGGTGTCGCATATAATCGGAATCAGATACTTATTTCAAAGAATACTTCTGAGTTATTGAATTGTCAACCAATGAATATAAATATATATACACAAATATCGAAAAACAATATATTACTAAAATATATTTAGAAAAGTCTTCTTAGCGATTGTCGAACAAATTATTTATTCTGTGAAATTCAAAGACGTAACATTGATCGGCGAATAATTGGTATAGATATAACGCCGACGGTTTATAAATGACATGACAATTTTAGAACACGCCCATTTCTTTCTGAAACTCTCTTCGACCGTCCGCGAACAAATGTCAAGAGTCTGTCGTCGTGAGAGTTGAAAGATACTGCCGAAAAAGTCACGGGATAAAAATTGGAAAAGAGATAAAGTTTTCCACGAAACGTTGAAAGGTGAATCGAAAGTTGGCGTTGCATGCAGAAGAGACTGACTGTAAATATCAACGATAGAAGCGACTCAGTAATGCATTTCTCAATAAGTTTAATACACTGTTTCGGTTCAAGAAACATGTAGAATTCTTGAAATTAAACTGTGTAATTTTGATTAAAATAATGAAAAGAACGAAACCCATAAATGGCTATATAACAATATGGCTAAAAACAAAAAGACATTTAGTAAGAAATCAAGTAAGCGAGATAAGCATGGACTTATTTTGTTTGGATGAAGAGAGAACTTAATGCTGATCCTGCTTAAGGATGAAATCCTCTCTATCCCGAAGGACCGAGTCTCAGATTTGAGAGCTGCGTCATGCGAATGTCTCATCGAGCGACACCCTTCTGGTATCCCTCACGGTTTTCGTCGATTGACATGGAGTGACAAAAAGTCCCTGGAGGGTACGTCACGCGTGTGGTAAAACCCCAGACGTGATAAGGAAAGTTATGGCCGTTAACCGATCGAGCACGGATCGGAAACCGCGGACTATTCCTCTTCGTTCCAAAGCCGTTTAATTCCCCTCTCTCTCTCTCCTTCGGCATCAGCCTGTCGAACGACAGAAAAGTATTGGGCTAACGTCTAGTTTTCGACACGCTGTGATTCGCCATCGTTAATTTATTGAACGGTGCGCAATAAAGTTTGATGTATCAAAGAAAAGCAAAAAACTGAATTTTACGAAGTGGACAGATTTACTTGTGCTCCATTTTGCCAATTATCTATAATATATTACCTCATATCTGTATATTTGTATCTGTATTTACTTCCTAATAAAATTTTTCATACCGTTACTTTGTTATAATTATTCATATTTAATCTCAATATCAAAAGAAATTTTTGGTGCAGCGTATAGAAAAAATATTAATAAATATTTAAATAAATTATTATTGCATCAAATATTATTAGAAATTAGGTTAATTAGTTTATCATCAGATATTGCTTCATAATTACTGTAATCATAATACGATTACTGTTATTATACTAGAAATACATTACCAATTATTATTTATCTCATAATAATCTATAATAATATTAATAATATATATATATTAATAATATATATATAAAATTTCAATATGAAGAACACAATGTGCAAGAACCAAATGAGTTTCCACTTCGACCTCGCGAGTAATACATGAATCTCTAGAAACGAACGACGTCTTGACGTCTTGTTAAAATTCTTGCGTTCTTCCAATTTCTACTGAAACTTGGAGAGATAATACTACGCTTATTTGATTACTATGACGAATCAATTTCCAATCTGACCTTGTCAATTTGTTCCTTACTCAGAATTGTGCAAAAATAAACGTTCTGAGAGAATTATCTTCATACCAGTGGAATATATAAAGTTCTGACAGAAATTATCTTCATACCAGTGGAATATATAAAGTTCCAATTATATTTGTGCAACACATAAAGAAGAATGAAGATTACAATACGAAACAATCGATTTTATCAGAGGACTCAAGCTCTGAACTTTGTGCTAAAAGTAGTTCAGAAAATTTCGAAAATATTTTTATTTCAGGAAATATTTTTGTAACGCAAGCTAAATTTGAATTATCTTTTACAACATTCTATAAATTATTTGAATCTATGTGTTTACTAAATAATGATCATTCTTGGAAGCAGGAGATATGAATTCTAGGAATTTTATTATTTATTTGATAATATTGTCAGTTTGAAATAGAAAAATTACGCAAAAAATTAATATTTTTGCGATAGTGACAGAAAATCAATTTTAAAAACGTATTTTTTTTTTCTTGAAAAATCGATATATTTGTAACTCTTCCAATTTACCGTTAAAGGGCATAAGTGTCACTTATCATCTGATCAAGTTCGCAATAATCGTTATAGAAAATAGATGCCATAAAGGAACATTGCTAAAATAATGATTAAAAAACATCTTATTTGAGGTGAGTCCAGGAAAATGCTATTAGCGCTATTTGTGTCATCCTATCCTTGTTTTATGTCTAATAAACGATAATAGAATGGCACAAATAGCGCTCATAGAGTCTTTCCGAATGCACTATTGGAGTCATGCTCTCTTTATTTTTCCTTAAAAATTTTCCTTTTAAAAGCTTTCTTATTCCAATTCAGAATTTAAAAAATGCTCCCTTTAAAAGTCACTAAAATTTGAAATGTGTCACTTTCTTATCAAAGCGACGATACATTGCAATCTAGATAATCCTAAAATTACAATGTATTAAAAAATTTGCAAAATTTATCATATTTTTAGAAATATTTTTTTTACAAGTTAAACATTTTTACATGTTTTTTAGAAAAAGAGAAAATATTGATTTATTTATTTAACGAGTATGTATACAACATCAGTACGTCAGTACATCTTCATCAGTTCTTCGCTCTGATGAAGTGAATGACAAGATTCACGAAATATTGGCATTAGCAATGGATGAAAACACGGCAATAACCCGTAAACTTTCTGATATGTATGTTACAAAGTCATTTTTCTCTGAAATTAAATCTTATATCAAATCTTGTACTCAAAAATATCATTCCTAGCATTTCCGATTTATTTTTACATGAGGACTCATCTTTCTAGTTACATCACACAGTTGCAACACTCTTTGTACACATCGCTGTACGTACATTCGTCCAACTTTGCACTATTCTAGAACTTCATCTTTAAGGCGTTGCGCAGACCAAATTTACTTATTACATCAACGTATATAGGATGTCTACGAACCTCCGAGGCTCTAGTTATGTCACGACGCAGGCGTACATCATCAATAGCGAGTCGTGTAAATTCGCCTTTGCGGATCACACGACTCCCCTACGTTTGTGCGCGCCTCCGCCGAGGGTGACAGCGTGTCGCTCGGTTGCAGAGACTAAACCGCGTTACACAGGCGGGTGGTGCATTGTGTAAATATGCATGTGGCTAAGCCGAAGAGCTCGACTCGGCGAAATCGAGCGCGCTTGAGAACGACGACGACACGACGTCAATGGGCGTCGAACCAAGACTCGTCGTCGTTATCATCGTTCGACGTCATTACCGTGAGCCGTCGAAGCGAATACTCCATCTGCCAAAGTAGTAATGTGTGTAACAATACCGACAGCCGTCTTCAGGGATATACACATGCCATTGCATAAACTCGATTTTCATTTATGCTGCAGATCATGGACCGTCGTCTTTGTACTCATGATGGCTCGTTAACGATCCGGCAATAATATTTCACCCTCGTATCGATGTTTGTATATTTACCATTTTACTATTTCAAGTATGTGTATGTAATATATAATTTTGTATATAGAGGAAAAAGTTTGTGTGTGTTACGATAGTCCTTCATTTTCATTTACACAATAATTTTGTTAATAATTAATATTTAAATTGAAAACTTAATAATTACATTCGTCAATTATTGTTCAATTAATTTTAGATTCAAAATATCTGTTATTTATGGCATTTATAAAAATGTAACACTTTATAATAGGTCAAAGAGAAACAGGGGTGGTAAAATGTGGTTCTCCCATAAAAATAGATTTAAAAAATTGGTTTTGTTTAAAAAACAATATTTGGCTACAGAATTATAAAAAACTAAAATATTGCAAAATGTTTGCAAATATATACGTACACTTAACTTCTTTTCTATTATCTATAGCTATAGATATAAGCTGTTCAGCCAAAAGCCTATATCTACACGTAAAGCTATGTTCAGATTTCTATTCGAGTGTCATCCAGACACTTAATTACTTCCTTGTTATTCACCAAATGTTAAAGAATAAAATGATATTAGAGAAGCACTCAAGTGGAAATCTGAACATGTCTTAAAATGAATTAGATTATAGATTAGCAATACAGTTGCAACTATCTTACAAACAATTATTTTTATATGAAAATCACGAAAAAAGATTGTCAGCGATCAGAAGGCTTAGAAAGCTTAAAAGATTACATTAGCAAAATGCCATATTGTTATTTAACTTTGCGTAACTCGAAATATGTACAAACAAATAAAATGTTAAATATTCAACAACATATTCAAGTTTGCATATATCCATATTCATGTGATACGCTCAAGTTTAAGAAGAATAAAAAAATACCTATTAATAAATGCTAAAACTGTACCTAGAAAACATTTCAAAATGAATAAAAATACATTATAATAAATATCGGCTATTGTGTATTGAAATATTAGTTACGAGATAATAACGGATTATTGAACAAATGATTCCATAAATGATCATTAGAATTTGCTAATAGCGGAGATAATTTATTAAGAGTGGCCATTGTACCTACAAAAACTATACAATTTTCTTCTTTATCATTGTAGCGTTGTGCTCTTTGCATATTTACCTCATGATTCTTTTCTCATCATATTACAAATGCCAAAGTTAATAATAACAATAATGAAAATCTAGTAACTTTGATAATAAAAGAGCGAAATTTATTTTTCTTATTTTTTCCTTTCTTTTCTTTTCTTATTTTTTCTTATTTTTATTAATTTATATAAATATAAAGCATATGTTAAAAATATTTAAAGAGAAAAAGAAATATCAATTATTAAAAGGGTTAAAATTCATTGCTTGCAAAAGACACTTTAATTTCCAAAATTATAATTCAGTTTTAATAAAAAGTAATAACATGCAGAAACATATTTCAGTTTCTAGATTACAGAATCTAAATGCGTTTCTCTATTCCCTCATGCGGTAGTTTGTATTTTCGTCGAATTTGCACGCATTGTAGCTTTATTAGCTTTTCTCCTGTTTCTCCATCCAAAACTCCACGAACACCTTCAACTGGTGTAGAACGAATAAAACGTATCTCCCGCATGGTTTAAAAAAGTTCGCGTCAAGCCACGAGGCTGTTATCACTCTCCTTTTTTCTGTATTGTAACGGACACTCGGTATAATTCAATGGCGACGACTGTATCTGCTTTTCTATAGCTGGATGTGTTCGAGGGTTTCGAGTCGACGAATCGTGACCGTTTTCATCCGGATGGACGGAAAACATCGAACAAAAACGGCGCGAATTTCATACTCGAATTTTCTCTGATTAAAAATTCGTAGCAAGGCTGGTCTCGGGAAATGCACAACATGGCCGTACGCATAAAACGCGTTTGTATCTGCGCGCGTGAATCTCCTTCTTCCTTCCGTAGCGAGCTTTTTTCTGAAACGCCGAGCAACAATGGCTCGTCTGCGTCCATCGGGACGCCACGCCGTGACGCGTGGGATAGAATAAAAAGGACGAAGTCTAAAGCTTGACGTATGTCGATGACACAAGGAAAGAAAAAAAAACAGTCCAGCCTGACTCGGCAAAACGTTTTATCTATGGTCAACGCGAACATAAGAGCTAAATCGTAAAACTCGTTACTCTTCTCCGTTATATCGCGTCTGTATGTGGTAACTCAATAAAAAAAAAAAAAAAATGAAAACTGAATATGTTGTGATTGCAAAAGTGCATATGATATACATTCATATCACAATATTGTTTATGTCATATCGCTTTTCATTCAATGGAACGCTATCGATAATTTTAAAATAACAAGCAAAAATATCTCTTAATATTGAGAATATAAAATATTAACGTAGTCCGTTATTTGTGCTGCAGCTGTAAAATAACTGCGCTAGGACTACGGTTTCCTGTGTTCTTTGACGTCTTTTCTACCCTTGTACTCTCTGGTAAATCCCGCGAGGCGTCGAGGGGAACCAATCTTACAGCGTGCTTTCATTATTACCGCGAAATTCTTCGCGACGGCGAGCGTATCCCCGTCTTACCTCGGGCACGACCTTTGTTAGCACTCTTCCGTGCTCGACTTTACCCTCCGACCCTTCTCCCTTCCAGAAGCTTGATGAGCGCAACGTTAAATCGAGAGGCCGCCGCAACCGGCAAACAGCAACAGCTATCGCGTAAATCAAAGCCGGTGTTGTGCCCTGCGCAGCCACCCGAGCTCGTCCGAGGCGCCGTAAAATGCAATTAAACCCTTTCCTCCTTAACAACTTCTATTCGGCGTTTTTTATTTAGCGTTTACGGTGCGATCGTTGGAGCACGAGCGCCACACTGCGCTCCTCGCCACAGTTGCGCTACTGTCATTAATAAAAAAAATACAATAAAGAAACAAAAGGAGAGACACAATCGGAGTTCCTGCGTTCCGCCTCATCACGCGTCCAATAAAAATTGCGAAAGAAACAAATCAATAAATGGACAGATTTATTTATTCGTCCAATAAGAACTTTTGTTCATCAGCCTCTGATCGACGTATTTATGAATGAAAAATTTACATTCGTTCAAGTTATAAATAAATTTCGTATTTTCTAACGGATTTTGTACTATAAAACGGACAGTACAAAAACGTATCACTGTATCGATCTACCTCCATTTCCACGAGCTGCAACTCACGTCCGTTTTTCAGACCACTGAACTATTCGAAGATCGCTTTCGACCTACAAGATGCAGCGTCAAGAAAAGTTTGAACTAATTCTGAGTTCAAGACGCGAACGAAGAAAAAAATAAAAGATTCAGCACGCGAGAGAGAGAGAGAGAGAGAGAGAGAGAGAGAGAGAGAGAAAACAAGACTGGAGCAACCAGCGTTTAAGGGCGAACATCACGATACGCGACTTTCCGGTCACGTTCGGTCGACAATTCAATTGTCGCTGGACATTTGGACTGCTCGTCTAGTTTCCGGTTTCGTGTTCTTCGGTGCTTTTAACGACACTCTCCACGGGCCACCGGAACCACGAGCAGCTCGCCCTGCAGACGGAGATAATCTCTTGGCTATAAGATGGGTTCGAAAGTAGAATATAGATAGATAGTTTCTACTTCAAATCGAGCACTCATATCAAATCAAAATCTTCCAACATTCATATTTCGAACTAGTACAAAATTTTTCAGAGACTACATGTATCTGATGACTTGCTGCAGCTTAAGGATATATCTCAAAGCATTACAAAAAAAGAAAAAATTTATTCTGTTATTATTGTATATATGAATATTTATATAAAATTTAAGCACAATTTTTTTACTGATTTATAAGTTATTTAATTTTTTGTTGTTTGTCTTGATTCTTCTGTAAAATCGTGTTTTATACCATTTATTTGTAAATCTGATGAGGATGTAGCATTACGAATTAAATTAAAATTTGTGTATATACTAATAAATTTCTAATAAATATTTATGTAAAAGTGTTCATATGGATCTACTTATTTATGTTTAAAAGTTATTTACGTAAAACTGCAGCAAAATATGGTCACTGCGCTACTATGACCGTGTTCATATATTGCTGCCAGTTGTCAATATACTACAATAGTATACGCAACGGGAAGTATAGATTTTCAGTGCTGGCAGTCAACTGACAATAATATACGAACATATGGCCTATTATAAGTCCAATTATTTGTTTTGTTTTTTGCGGTTAGTTCGAGGTTGTATTCATGACCGAAATTTTTTGGCTGATACTGGCTTTTTTCGCTGATCCTTTAGTTAGTACTATACAGCCAAAACGTCCTTAATTGTAGAATACTAATCACTCGCTGCATTCAGCAAAAAAAGCAGCTTTCTAACTGTTGTAAGATTCCTTTAACGTAATGAACTTATATATTTAGATCCAGTGAGAAACTAAAAACAAGATCAATCATATTAAAGCATTTTACAACAATTGCAAAACTGTTTTTTCTGTTGAACATAGCCATTGTATTGAAGCGAATATATCGGTTTCAAATGTTTGAGATTAATTGAATTTATTAATCGAAACAATTAATCAATATAATTCGTTTTAATATGATAAAAATTAGCTATGTCCTTCCATTTACCGAATGAGAAGTACTCGTGACTATAATATCTACAAATAGTAGCTACGATCAAGCGTTTAATCAAACGAACACATCGCTCGTTCGAAAGATAGGTGGACGATAGCTTTAACGATAGGCAATAAAAAATCGTGCGTTCCATCGTTATCTACGCGCTCGGTGATTTACGACTATCACGCAGCTACCATCGGATTCTTACACCTAAATAATTTAATTTGACCGTCCGCGAAGTGTCCACGAATCGTGCGCTTGTATGTAATGTAATAATCGCGTGATCGCACCCCATGGTAAGATTCCATCACCGGCTTTAATCGTATAATCGATAGAGCTCGTCTCTTTGAAAAATATATCCTGGATTGGAGAGATTCCGCGCGAGCGTGTGTACGCCTGACCCATAATTTTCTACAATTTCTACACACTCATAATCTAAATCGTAAAGTACTCGCGC